AAAAAAAAAAAAAAGGGAAAAAAGTATGTTGAGCACTTTAGCAAACCCCACACATTTCAAATGGCCATAGTTATGCCAGAAGGAAGATAAGGACATAGAGGCTCAGCATGTAGTTTAATATCAATTCTGATAAAAGAAAAAAGGCTGGCCGGGTGCGGTGGCTCACACCTGTAATCCCAGCACTTTGGGAAGCCAAGGCAGGCAGATCTCCTTGAGCTCATGCATTTGGGACCAGCCTCGACAACATGGCGAAACCCTGTCTCTACCAAAAATACAAAAAATTAGCTGGGCGTGGTGGCGTGCACCGATGATCCCAGCTACTCGGAATTCTTCTTCCTCAGCCTCCTGAGTAGCTGGGATTACAGGCGGCCACCACCACACCCGGCTTTTTGTATTTTTAGTAGAGACAGGGTTTCACTATGTTGGCCAGGCCAGTCTCAATCTCCTGACCTTGTGATCTGCCCTCCTTGGCCTCCCAAAGTGCTGAGATTACAGGTGTGAGCCACCATGCCCAGCCTTCATCATCATTCTTAAAATGTCTTTAGGCTGGGCGTGGTGGCTCACACCTGTAATCCTAGCACTTTGGGAGGCCGAGGCGGGTAGATCACACGGTCAGGAGTTCAAGACCAGCATGGCCAAGATGGTGAAACCCTGTCTCTACCAAAAATATAAAAATTAACCAGGCATGGTGGTGGGTGCTTGTAATCCCAGCTACGTGGGAGGCTGAGGCAGAGAATTGCTTGAACCTGGGAGGCGGAGGTTGCAGTGAGTCAAGATTGTGCCACTGCACTCCAGCCTAGGTGACAGAGGGGCACTTCGTCTAAAAAAAAAAAAAAAAAAAGCCAACAAACAAAACAAAAAAACATGTCTTTAATGCAGTTTTTTCTGTAGTGATGCTTTCAAACTGGGATCCAGGTTTTTGAAGCCAGGCACTAGGAACTAAACAAAGCTATGGGATAAATATGGAAGGTGCACCTTCTTGTATTAGCACTTTTTTTTTTCAAAAAAGATTTTTAGGGAGGTAGGAGTTAAATGATTTACTCGATAAGTCATTTGAAATGGCTTACATTTAAACACACATTGCATCTGTGTAATGTGGGTAAATCATTTAAAATTTTGAAAAAGATACCATATAAGACATGCCTTTGTTCCTCCTTAAAATTTTTTTTTTGAAAAAGAAAATAAACATTAATAAAATGTGGGTTAGACCGGACTCAGTGGCTCACACCTGTAATCCCTGCACTTTGGGAGGCTGAGGGGGTCAGATCACGAGGTCAAGAGATCAAGACCATCCAGACCAATATGGTGAAGCCCTCTCTACTAAAAATACAGAATTAGCTGGGCTTCGTGGCGCCCACCTGTAGTCCCAGCTACTCAGGAAGCTGAGGCAGGAGAATCGCTTGAACCCAGGAAGCGGAGGTTGCAGTGAGCTGAGATTGGGCCACTGCACTCCAACCTGGTGACATAGTAAGGCTTTGTCTCAAATTAATTAATTAATTAAAAGTGGTGTAAAATGCAAATATAAAAATAAATTTTAAGAGAAAAGCATGAGGTCAGAGACACATCAGGCTTAAATAGGATACTTCCATAACCTCCCAAACTGCCCTGGGAATATGTTTTGGTTTTTCTTGCAATTTAAGGTTACTTCATGAAAAATTTTGAGAGACATTGCTATGGGCAAACAGCATGGGCTACTAAGGAGTCATACAGATTTGGATTTGTGTCACATGTCTGGAAGTTACCAACTATGTGACCTTCAGCAAGTTACTCAGTCTCCTCATCTGCAAGTAGAAGAGAATGTCTCCTGGGGTTTTGGGCAAGGTTAAATTAACACATATACAGTACTTATCACAAAAAAAAAAGGTACATAATAAATCTGACTCTGTTTCTCCATTTTTACAGTATCCTAATGTGCATGTTCACTTGGAATAAGTCCTTATAGAATACCTAGCTCAGCAGAATGCTGATACTGAGATGTTTTTTAAAAATGTCTACAATTGGGCCAGACACAGTGGCTCACACCTGTAATCCCAGCACTTTAGGAGTCTGAGATCGGAGGATCACTTGAGGTCAGGAGTTCAAGACCAGCCAGGGCAACGTGGTAAAACCCCATTTCTACTAAAAGTACAAGATTAACTCGGGGTGGTAAAGGGTGCCTGTTATCCCAGCTACTTGGAAGGCTGAGGCAGGAGAACCACTGGAACATGGGAGGCAGAGATTGCGGTGAGCTGATATCACCACACTGTACTCCAGCCTGGGTGATAAGAGGAAAACAAGACAAAACAAAACAAGTCTGCAATTATAAAAGTGTCAAAGTAAAGTGCTTTTACTTATTTTATTTTCTTTGACTTGATCCTTACAGTAATCCTATGACTGGGGTCTCCATTCAGGATTAGCATGCTGAAGATTGGCTCACTAAAACAAAATTAAATATTTGTTAAATGCAAGTTATGTGTCAGATGACAGGGTAAACAAGACAGATTATCTGCCCTCATGGAGCTTATAATCCATCAGGATCTTTTTTGAGTATTTCTGACATTTTGTGTTTCTGACTTGTGTAGCTATCTTGATATAATACTAAAAGTAGGAAGGAGCTATTTTTTTTTTTTTTGAGATGGAGTTTCGCTCTTGTTACCCAGGCTGGAGTGCAATGGCGCGATCTCGGCTCACCGCAACCTCCGCCTCCTGGGTTCAGGCAATTCTCCTGCCTCAGCCTCCTGAGTAGCTGGGATTACAGGCACATGCCACCATGCCCAGCTAATTTTTTGTAGTTTTAGTAGAGACGGGGTTTTACCATGTTGACCAGGATGGTCTCGATCTCTTGACCTCATGATCCACCCGCCTCGGCCTCCCAAAGTGCTGGGATTACAGGCTTGAGCCACTGCGCCCAGCCTGGAAGGAGCTATTACTGTCAATATCTATAGTTAACCTGTTAGAGTATTCCAATAATGAGACATTTTCAGGTTGACTAAGCTGTTTTCTGGAGATGTATGAGAGGTGTAATATGAACACTTTTGTTAGAGCTGGGGAGAAGTTTATTTTCTTTTAGCCTAAGAACATAGAACTTTAAAAAATGGTGACCATGGCCGCGTGTGGTTGCTCATGCCTGTAATCTCAGCACTTTGGGAGGCAGAGGTGGGTGGATCACTTGAGGTCAGGAGTTCCAAGACCAGCCTAGCCAACATGGTGAAAACCTGTCTCTACTAAAAATGCAAAAATTAGGCAGGCATGGTGGCAGACATCTGTAATCCCAGCTTCGGGAGGCTAAGGCAGGAGAATTACTTGAACCCCAGAGATTGAGGTTGCTGTGAGCTGAGATCCCACCCCTGCATTCCAGTCTGGGTGATTGGGTGAGACTTCATCTCAAAAAAAAAAAAAAAAAAAAATGACCTTTCATGTTCAAATTGATTTGGGAATGGAGAAAGAAGTGAATGTTGTTTGGACTGAGGGAAAAAAAAAACCTCTGAATCAAGGCATAGCTTCTTTAAGGCCTCAGACATATATAGTAGCAGTATTAATTTTACAAGGCCTTATACATAATAGAAGCCCAATATGTATTTGCTGTCCACAGAGTGCTTGACACATTCTTCTCACTTGACTTCTGTAATGCTACACTTCTGATTTCCTTTCTACATATTGGGCTTTTCTGTCTCCTTTGTAAGCTCATCCTCCATAATCTGGGCATGGCAGTGACTCTCAAATTTGTATATCTAGTCCTGACCCTCTGCCCTCTGGATGCAAATATCTAATTGCTTGAGCCCACAAGTTTAAGCCCAGCCTGGGCAACATGGTGAAACGCTCTCTACAAAAAATACAAAAATTAGCCAGACATGGTGGTGTGTGCCTGTAATCCCAGATACATAGGAGGTTCAGGTGGGAGAATTGCTTGACCCTGGGAGACCAAGGCTGCAGTGAGTTGTGATGGTGCCATTGCCCTTTAGCCTGAAGAAGGCACTGCTAGTCACATATCTTCTGAAACGGACATTTTGGTTGTAAGTATTGTTTGGTGGTAATAGCAGTATAGTTCACATACATCACATTTTCCCTTACTTGAGTTGTTGCACCAGATTTCTTTTTTCTTTTCTTTTTCTTTTTTTTTTTTTTTTTTTGAGACGGAGTTTCCTGCTGTCACCCAAGCTGGAGTGCAATCATATGATCTCAGCTCACTGTAACCCCTGCCTCCAGGGCTCAAGCGATTCTTGTGCCACAGCCTCCCAAGTAGCTGGGATTACAGGCTTGTGCCACCACATATTTTTGTATTTTTTAGTAGAGACAGGGTTTCACCATGTTTTCCAGGGTGGTCTCGAACTCCTGGCCTCAAATGATCCACCTGCCTCGGCCTCCTAAAATACTGAGATTATAGGTATGAGCCACTGCGTTCAGCCCTCCAACCAGATTTCGAAGTATGTTTTATTTCACAAAACAAAATATTGGTAATTCATAGATCATACATATACATATGTGTGTACATATATATTACATAAACTTCTTTGAAAAGGTAAGTATATAAAAACCAAACTGATAGACTGTCAAAGCATCAGACTTGAGAACAAGTTGTCTGCTTGCATCACAGAATCTCCTACCTCCTTGTCCCAATATTCTTTTCACCCCATCTAAGACACCTCTATGT